TGGAGAGGGGGGTAGGGTAAATGGAGATGGGGGCTGGGTGGTTGGAGAGAGAGGGCTGAGTGGTTGGAGAGGGGGGTAGGGTAAATGGAGATGGGGGCTGAGTGGTTGGAGAGGGGGGTAGGGTAAATGGAGATGGGGGCTGGGTGGTTGAAGAAGGGGGCTGAGTGGTTGGAGAGGGGGGAATGGTGGATGGAGATGAGGGCTGGGTGGTTGGAGAAGGGTGGATGGAGGGGGTGGGGGGCTAGTGTAAAAATAAATCAAATAACCCTAATATCACCACATTTGTTTAACCCCTTAAGGACGGCGGGCGTTCTATGCTGTCCTTAGGGAAGCGGCTCTAAATGCCGGAGGGCGGCATAGAACGCCCAAACCATCCATGTCTAAGTGTATTTTGATATTAATATATATATATATATATAATTATATATATCAAAGTACATGTACAATGATATTGATTAAATATATATATAATTTTCATTATATATATTTATAAATAATATAAAATAAATATGTAAATACGTTAAAAAATAAAATTAAAAAATTAAATTTAAAATTAATATATATTGCTATCAAAATACACGTAGAACAAAATATATACATCTATATACATAACTATATATATATATATATATATATATACCTATATATAAATAAAAACAATTTTTAAAAATTATATATAGATATATATATACACACGTGTGTATATATATATAAAATAATTCTACGTATATATTTATGTAATAATTTTACATAATTAGGTATTTTTATTAATTACAATTTGTGGGACCTGCCGGACAACCCAGGCCGAAATCCAGGGAATTTAATTTGCTAGCACTATATTTAACCCTGTAACTTTCCAAGACACCCTAAAACCTGTACATGGGGGTTACTGTTTTACTCGGAAAACTTTGCTGAACACAAATATTAGTGTTTCAAAACAGTAAAATGTATTACAGTGATGATATCGTCAGTGAAAGTGAATTTTTTTGCATTTTTCACATACAAATAGCACTTACACGGATGATATAATTGTTGTAATACATTTTACTGTTTTTAAACACTAATATTTGTGTTCAGCGAAGTCTCCCGTGTATAACAGTACCACTCATGTACAGGTTTTATGGGGTTTTCAAAAGTTACAGAGTCAAATATAAGGCTTGCGTTTCAGTTTTTTTCTAATTGAAATTTGCCAGGTTGGTTATGTTGCCTTTTAAGAATGAAAATTACCCCCATGAAGGCATACCATTTGCAATAGTAGACAACCCTAGGTATGTGGTATGTTCAGACTTATTTAGTAGCCACTTAGTCACAGTTACTAAAAAAGACTGGACATACCCCATTGCAATACCTTGGGTTGTCTACTTTTGCAAATGGTATGCCACCATGGGGGTAAATCTTATTCCTGTGAATTTCAATGTGAAAAAACTGAAAAATGTAACATGCTATATTTGACCCTGTAACTGCCCAAAACACCATAAAACCTGTACATGGGGGTACTGTTTTACATGTGAGACATCGCCGAATACAAATATGTGTGTATTATTGCAGTAAAAGCAAACAGTATTATGACACAGTTAAAATGTCACGTAGAAGATTTGTTTTAAAATTCTTATTTTTTTCCAATTTTTTTTATATTTTATTCATATTAAATTATGTTTCATACCTAAATATTTGATGTTAAATGAAAGCCCTGTTTCCCCTGAATAAAATGATATATAATAAGTGTAGGTGCACATAATATGAAGAGGCGAATTACGCCTGAACAGACATATAGCACAAATTCCTGTTTTTGTTTACATTTTGTTTTGATCACAACGTGTACATTTGGCTCAGTCCTTAAGGGCTTAAAAAACACAGTCACTAAAGGGTGGCAAACAGAATCACAAACCATATGTAAAATAACTGAGATCTGTGTCACATCCACTGGACTGGAGACCAATATATGAGACTAATTGTTAGATCATTTAAAAAAAAAAAAATTTTAGAATAATGATTCATTTTATTTCATACAATTGGGCTGATTTGTGCCTTACCCTACACCTGACAGTCACTGGGCCACCCCCACCACTGCCACCAGAGACAAAAGGGTTTTTCACAATAAGTAGAAGTAATAACAAAACGATGGGGAATTCTTTAAAGGACCACTCTAGGCACCCAGACCACTTCAGCTTAATGAAGTGGTCTGGGTGCCAGGTCCAGCTAGGCTTAACCCATTTTTTTTATAAACATAGCAGTTTCAGAGAAACTGCTATGTTTATTAATGGGTTAAGCCTTCCCCCTAATCCTCTAGTGGCTGTCTCATTGACAGCCACTAGAGGCGCTTGCGTGCTTCTCACTGTGATTTTCACAGTGAGAGCACACCAGCGTCCATAGGAAAGCATTATGAATGCTTTCCTATGTGACCGGCTGAATGCGCGCGCATTCAGCCGCATGGGAGGAGAAGAGGAGGATCGGAGGAGGAGAGCTCTCCGCCCAGCGCTGGAAAAAGGTAAAATTTAACCACTTTCCAGAGCCGGGCGGGAGGGGACCCTGAGGGTGGGGGCACCCTCAGGGCACTATAGTGCCAGGAAAACGAGTATGTTTTCCTGGCACTATAGTGGTCCTTTAATTAAAGAGGTCTTTTTATCAGAATTTTATTTTTTATCAGAAAATTATTTTACACCATTTTTTTAAAAATAGTTTTTATTTGTACAGAAATGAGCAAGCGAAAAAGCAGCATTACGGATTTCTTCACGAAGGCATCCAATAAAAAATCACATGATTCTGCAAGTTGCTCCACTCAGTCTGAGCCTTTGCTTCAGCATCCGGTGTCCGCTGCAGAAACTACATCAGTCAGTGAATCGGCTGTAGTGGACATGGTTACTGATGTGGCTGAAGATGCCGATGTCAGTGATAGCATTCTTCCAGAATGTTGGGACCAGAATCAGTGGCTAGAATTTAAAAAAAAGTACCCTTGGCTGTTTGTAGACAATGGTCTTTTAGGGTGCAAAGTGTGTCGCGAGGTTAAACACCTTGGAGTGTCTGTTTCACAGGGTGTATCCATTTCTAAAGAATGGACCACTGGTACAATTACACCATATGACAAAACAAAAAAAGATATGTTGACCTCACTACGTAAAAAAATCCACATACATAAGATTTCAGAAGCACATGTAAAGGCAGAAGATATCCAACAGTATCCAGAAAGGAGATTCTGCAATCCAATATTGCTGAACAGCAGAAGCATAAGTTTGCGTCTACTACTAAGGTATTTCGCACTGCCTACTTTTGTGCGAAAAAAAATCGCCCTTTCACAGACTTCAGAGATCTTATCAGCTTGCAGGTTGCAAATGGAGCTGACTTAGGATGCATTCTCCATAGTGAGTACACAGCAGCACAAATAATAGATTGCATTGCTAGTGAAATGAGAAAAAAGCTTTGCAAAGCAATTGTTGAGCAGGCTCCAAAAATTTCTGTTTATATTGATGAGTCTACAACAGTTTCTACCCATTCAGTGTTAATAGTTTATATTCGTGCCTCTGTTAACGGAAAAGACCCAGTCACTTTCTTTCTTGATTTGCTTGATTTGCCTAAAGCAGATGCACAGTCTATTGAAGCCACTCTTCTAGCTTGTCTTTCTAAATTTGGGTTCAGTAATGACTTTCTTGCCGAGAACTTGATTGGGGCTTGCAGTGATGGTGCAAGTGTAATGCTTGGAAGAAAGTCGGGTGTTCTGGAACGACTCAGTCAAAAATATCCACAGATTGTGAAATGGCACTGCTTGTGTCATAGGCTTGAATTGTGCATTTCAGATACAATTGATTCTATTCCTGGTCTTCATCATGTAACATCATTTTTTGAGAAGTTGTATGCTGTGTATCATCAGTCACCAAAAAAATCTGGCAGAGCTCTCAGAATGTGCAAAAGAATTAGAAGTACAAATTCTTAAAATTGGAAAAGTTTTTTCAGTTAGATGGGTTGCTTCAAGCCAGAGAGCTATACGAGCAGTTTGGGAGTCATATCCTGCCCTACACAGTCATTTCTTGAAAGCAAGCTTAAGTTCAGCTAATAACAGTAAGCAGAAATCTGTATTTAGTGGCCTTAACAAGGTCTTGACATCAGTAGATTATTTGTTAAACCTTGCAGGGGTTGCGGATGCTGTTCAGGAAATGGGACTGTTATCTGAAGCTCTGCAAAGAGATGACATCACACTTCCACGAGCCTATCAGCTGATTAATCGTTCCGTTCGTGCCGTTGAAAAAATGAAAGACATGCCTGGCAAACATCTGAAAGAAGTAATGGAATCGCTGGAGAAAGGGAATTTCAAAGGTGTGACCATCAATCCAGAGAGTACAAAAGGCCAAGTGAGGATAAATCTCCCTCAATTTTATCAAAGTTTGGTGGATAATTTACGCTCCAGACTCTTTGCTTTAACTGCGAGCAACAGACCTGCAGCTTCATCACAGTCAGGTGAATTTGAAACTCTTGTCTCTGAAATTGACATCCTGAATTCACAGCGCTGGCCAATCAATGTGGACAGTCCGTGGTTTGAAGGTGAAGCGAAGCTGGAGCAGCTGTGCAAAAGATTCCGTCTCAGCTATGCATCCATATGTGAAGGTTTCAGAGACTACATTGATAATGGTGGTGCAGAGATTCCCGAAAATCTAAAACCAGTGGTGACAGCAGTTAACAGTCTTCCAGTGACATCCGGTGATTGTGAAAGGGGCTTCAGTACAATGAATTTGGTGATGTCACCCATTAGGAGTGGGCTTGGCATTGAACGCCTGTCTTCTCTTTTGTTTATTAGTCTCATTGGGCCTCCTGTGCATTTATGGGATCCTTTACCATACGTCACAAAATGGCTGACCACACATCGCAGCGCAGATGATACTAAATCTCGAAAAGTTGATAATCTTGCACGGCAAGGGCAACGTTATTCCAGTTTGTGGGATATTTTCTAATGGGCTGTGTGTTTAGTTTGTATACACTATTTGTTTTAGAAATTCCCTGCGAGGGAAAGATCACCCATTGTGGTGATTATTCTGTTAGTTTGACTAACAAGTTAACTCCCTCCCAAACAACACCATTCACTTTATCACAGTTGTTAGAACTGTTCTATATTCATTTGTTTATTGCATAGCTAATTTAATTCATTTCAACTGTTCTATATATATTTGTTTATTGCATGTGAATTTTGCAGTTGTTTGTGTAAACTGGCACTTTACAATAAATGTTGCACTGAATTTTCTGCGAAATATATATTTTTTTTGGGGTGGAGGGGTGGGGGAGTGGATCTTGGGTGAGTTCCCACACTTTTTTTCCCAGGACTTGACCCCTGCCTGCAAACCCCTTGCTTACCTGTCTTCGTCGATTCCGTAAATTCCCCTCCCACCACACCCTCTTTTCATATCAATATATCCGAATGGGCCCTCTTTTTACAGGCCCAACCTCTCGTCGGTTTCGGCACACCTCAACCGACTTGTGTTTATCAAAACTACCCTCACTTTAAGTGTACGCCCCCTTTCATAATCCCGTACACAAATATATATATATATATATATTGTAACACACCACCTCTTTTCCATGTAGGATCTTGTCACAGATCTTGTAACCAGTGGCGGATCCAGGGGGGGGCAACGGGGCAATTGTCCCCCCCGAGAAATCCGCCGGTCTCCCTCTCCCCTGCCTGCACATGCAGGTGCTAGCCCTGCAATGTGCCTGCGGACCGGGGGGGAGATCAGAAATCTCCCTCCCCGGTCCGCAGGCACTGTGCTGACAGCCGGCAGGGGAGGGAGAGGGAGAACCCGGGAGCTCAAACTGCAGCTCCTCCGGGTCCTCCTCTCGCGAGATTTGGAGCGTTGCCGCGGTTACCACGGCAACGCTCCAAATCTCGCGAGAGTGAACTCTAGCCCGGGAGCGTGGGCTAGAGTTCACTCTCCACACTGGACCACCAGGGAATCCCCCACCGGACCACCAGGGATCGAAATATGTTCACCCTCCTCCCCAGTAAAGGTAAGAAGGGAGGGGGGACATAGAATATTTATTTATTTTAATTAAATTAAAAAATATTATATAATAAAAAAAAAACACCCTACCCTGATCACACACTCATACATTGCCCCCAATACTGCCCCCCC